TACAGAGTGACATGCTTGTTTTCGTAATGCCTAAGGATGCATTTTAATATGTTGTTTTGGAGGCCAAACCTTTGTTAGCAGGGCTAAAGTAACACAGGGAGCAGGAATTACACCCCAGAATGCAGACCTGGGTTGTGCAAGGGGCAGGCCACAGAGTATCGGCTTTCTTAGACTTGCTTGGGAGAGAATTTTCTCCAGATGAGGGAAAGGCAGGTGACCACAGGATTCCAACCTGTCCTTGTGCCAACCCCTTTCTCTGGCCAGGACATTCACCCACCTAGGGAAAGCCAGCATAACTCCCCTGAGTTAAAAATGATGGTAGCAACTTTCCTAAACTGTCCTTTCTACCAATGCAGAATGCCCCCTCTGGGGCTCCGTAGCACAGTCCCTGCTCATAGTCACATTAGGACAGACACAGGCAGAGACCAAAGTAAACTGAACTGCCCAGAGAGCTTATAAAGCAGTCGTACTCCTTGTTGGAGCCCCTGCTTCCTCCACCAGAGGTGGCGGCGTGTGAGAGCAGAACTCGGCTCCTACTCATTTTTAACTGCCGACACAAATGGTCTGGGATCTTGCTCAGGAAGAATGTGGCACTCACATGAGCAACCTTCATTACTTCCTATCGGACATTCTGAAGAAATTTTCTTGGCATAGATCACAAGTAAGAGACATCATAGAAAATGTTATTTTTATTATTTCAAGAGGATAATATGTAGCCCGATACACCAAAGCAATAGGGAAGGGAATTAGAGGCAGCAAATGGCAGTTTTTGAGAAGAGCCTCATGTTGCATCTCCACGCTCCTGTCTGCCTGCCGCCCACAGTGCCCAGTGAAGGCTGAGGCTGGGACAGTGGTGCGGAGCTTGCTGTGACCATAGCAGTGGACGGATGACCAGACTTAGCGCCCCACTGACCGTAAAGGGCTTGATGCAGAAGGCACCAGAGCACTGTGGGCCAACACCCAGAGAGCCCTACCCTGCCACTTGCCATTCACACAGCTCCTGCCTAGCAGCGGCCAGCTGTCTAGCACTTAGTTTTATCTCTGTGAGCCTCTAGTGGGCAGGACGGGAATGAATCCTGAGTCATAAATTAAGGTGAAAGACTTAGTAGTGTTAATACTCTGGGTGAGAATAGACAACACTGTCTTGGAAGAGGGTGGGCTGGGAGTCTGGTGGGAGAAACATGGAAACATAGAGCGGCCCCAAGCTGTGGGCACTGCCCTGGGGACCGTAGGGGGTTTTCACCGTACATGATGGGGAAGGGGCAGGGGCTGGGTACTGGGGCCTGCTTCCTCTGAGGCAGAACTGAACTAGAGGTTCATTTTCTACTCATAATTGGTTTTCCGGGTCTAAGACACCACACCTGGGGCCGAAGCAAGTCTTGCCTGTGCACCAAGCGCAGCCTTGGAGAGATGTGTGGCGGCTCAGTTGGCCAGGGTTGAGGGGGACGGACTCTCAATTTAAGGAGACCCTTCTCCCCCTGCTCCTGGTTCTTGTCCCTTGCAAATAACCAGGTGGGAAATGAGAGGCAGAAGCACCTCCTGTTGCAGCCCCGCCATTGTCTTTTCCCATGAACTCATTTTGGTGGGACCCAAAGCCCCACCTTGGTATGGAGCAGACTGATTCCATCATGGAAGGGTGCCCCATCTGGTGATTTGATGGTGGAGTGCAGGTGGGAGGCGCAGCAGTGGCTGTGGATGTGGGGACACCCATAGACACCATTCATTTTGATGTGGCCCTCCAGGCTGGTGGGCTGGTGGGGAGGGGCTGCATCTTCCCAGCACGCACTGTTCCCCAACCTCACTGCAACGGCTGACAGATTTTTGGTTTGACAGGTGTGAAGAGAATTTTAAAAACCATGCCACTAGGTACCTCCAAACCTAGCCATTGTGTACTTCAAACCAGGAGCGGTTGGTTTTGTTTTGACAAGAAAAGACAAAGAGAACCACAGCTCCATGGTGCTCACTGCTGTGTAGCAGGGAATCGGCCATGTATCGAATGTATCAACCTCGTCTGACCAGGGAGGTGGGTGAGCACAGAGCGTCCGGGACCCAGATCCTCTAATCAGTTGCAGGCTCTGCTGTTGCCTCACCCTCAGGTTCCTCAAAGCCTGGAACTGGCTTCTGCAGAAAGTACGTGGTGGCCTGAATCACCTTGTCTGGTCCAATGTTGTAGACGGGGTGAGTGGGCTGCTGCAAAGAGAACAGATGCCAACTCGTCACTCTGGCGATCCTTGGAAACATGCCCATCCTTTGCCCCCTGAAATGGACTACTAAGAATTTAAGGAATCATCAGAGACCACAGAAAGATCTCTCTCTAGGCCCAAAGGTTCAAAAACAGGGTATTTACTACTAAAAACTCGTTATAGAACATGAAGACATAGGAAAATGTTAAGCAGCCTATTTTTTTTTTTTTTTTTTTTTCTTTTTTGCAGCACTGGGGACTGAACCAGGGCTTTCATGCTAGGTAAGCACTCTACCACTAAGCTACATTCCCAGGCCTTTTAATTTTTTGAGACAGGGTCTAACTAGGTTGCTGAGACTGATTTCAAACTTATGATCCTCCTGCCTTGGCCTCCTGAGAAGCTGGGATTATAGATGTGTGCCACTGTGCCCAGCATATACAGCCATTGAACTACATCCTTTCAGATATTTAATGATATAGACAAATACTTACACAGGTTGAACATCTCTTATATGAATGTATGGTACCAGAGTGTTTCATATTTTAGAGTTTTTAGATTTTGGAATAATCACATAGACTTTAGCAGTTCAGCATTGCTAACCAAAGAGCCCAAAATACAAGTTTTTCTGTTGTTGTGGGGTTGGGGTGGAAACAGGACCCAAGGCCTTGCACATGCTAAGCACAGGATCTACCACTGAGCTACATCTTCAGCCCCATGCTGACATGACACTCAAAAAGTTTCAGATTTTGGGGCAGTTTGCATTTTTTTTTTTAGTTGCAGATGAACACAATACCTTTATTTATTTATTTTTATGTGGTGCTGAGGATCGAACCCAGTGCCTTACACGTGCTAGGCAAGCGCTCTACCACTGAGCCACAGCTCCATCCCCACATTTTACATTTTGAATGTTCAGATTAGGGGTGCTTAATTTTAAAGATGTTTAAGTGAGAAAAACAGTAGGTACACACTATCTAAAACTTCCTTTTTAAAATTTGTTTACAGATACATATGAATAAAGACAAAAATTGAAAATACACCAAAACGGTTTTTGCAGTACTAGGGCAAATTGAATCCAAGGTCTTTCACATACTAGGCAAGCACTCAACCACTAAGCTATATCCCCAGCCTTTTTGTTTTGAGACAGGGACTAAGCTGCCCAGGCTGGCCTCAAGCTCGCCATCTTCCTACTTCAGCCTCCCGAGCCGCTGGGATTATAGGCATGTGCCACCACTAGCTGATTGTTTTTAATTGTTTTATTTATACTTATATATATATTCCAATTATTAAAACAATGAACATTTATAATCACTTGATTACATTTACATTTATAATCAAGGAAAAGGACCACAAATGTATTATGTAGTAAGGGGGTCAGATCATATTTAAATTGATTTACATTGTTCCACTCTATCAACAGAAATCCAAAGGAACTTCAATTTTGAGACAGAATTCTGGGCCAATATTCAGGAATGTCCCACACTGGAAGAATAAAGAAGGGGACATAAGGGCAGCAAAAATTTAAAACTTTTTAAGTTGTACATGGACCCAATACCTTTATTTATTTTTATGTTGTGCTGAGGATTGAACCCAGTACCTCACACGTGCTAGGCAAGTATCCGACTACTGAGCTACAACCCCAGCCCTAAAACTTTTAAATATAATACTATGAGCAATTTCACACCAAAACATAAAAATTCAGATAAACTGATCAATTTTTAAAAATTTTTTTTTGATATGCCTAGGACCTTGCTAAATTTCGGAGGCTGTCCTTGAACTTGTGATTCTCCTGTCTCAGTCTCCCACTCTGCTGGGATTACAGGTGTGCACCATTGTACCTGGCTGAATAATTTTTTTGAAGACAGTATCTCACTAAATCGACCAAGTTGACTTCAAACTCAGGATCTTCCTACCTCATCTTCCCAAGAGGCTAGTATTACAGGCATGTGCCATCACAACAAAAGAAAGTTAATTAAAAAAAATTTTTTTTTCAGTGCTGGGGTAGAAACCAAGGCTTTGCTTGCACATGCTAGGCAAGCAACTGTACCATCACATTATGTCCCAGCCTGGGACTGAATTTTTTTTTTTTTTTTAACCAAGAATTGAACTCAGGGGTGCTTAACCACTGAGCCACATCCCTAGCCCTTTTTTGCATTTTATTTAGAGACAAGGTCTTGCTGAGTTGCTTAGGGCCTTGCTAAATTGCTGAGGCTGGCGTTGAACTCACAATCCTCCTGCCTCAGCCTCCTGAGTTGCTGGGATTCCAGGTGTGCACCACCTAGACCAGCAGGGCTGATTTGTTTTGAGGGAAGCAGACAAACTTGAATTGAACAAATACATGGCAAACTGTGGTCAGTGCCACAAGGGAACGAAGGGGGCACTACAGCAGCACATCTTGGGTAATGTCATTCTTTGAATCAGAGTTGGCATCTAAGCTGAGACCTCTGAGAGAGGCAGCCATACACTGGGGGTCATGCCCTGCTGATACTACAGGTCAATTTAGATTCACAGGCTGCATTGGTACCAAGTAACTGTGCCTTCCTAGAGAGGGCACTGATGGTAGGTGGTGATCTGGATCCTCAACTCTGGAATAAAAGCACAAAAGCTGTCACAGATCAGACTACCACTGGAACTCGGGTGTACCTAGAGGTGCAATTCCTCCAAGGTCACAACCTCACTGGTGGACTACAATGTAAGGAGGGAGGGGACTGCAAGCTCCCAAGCCTGTCCTCACAGGGAACAAACCCAATTCTGCAGGAGTTGCTCTGAAGTCCCCTGTCCTGGGAACTCTGTGGAGAAGGGTGTTAAGCATCCCATCCTGACTTACCAGCACATTTTCAGGCACACCCAGGACCACATCGTGCAACATGGCTCCGCTACCAAAGTGCTGGGCAATGGATAAGCCACTCAAGCAGTAGCAGGTGTGGTAGAAGTCACGGGACCTGCAAGGACAGGCAGCACTGAGTGGTCACTCCTCTGTGGAAGACAACCACGTGAGTCTAGAGGCCCAGGACTCCATCACACATCCCACATGTTGTGCACATGGCTGAAGAAGTGTGGCTTTTCCTCGGTGGTAAATTTAAAAGCCTTATCCTCCAGCCCTACCAACCATAAGACTGTAATTTTATATTATTATTTTGCTTTGCTTTCCTTTTTTTTTTTTTTTTTGGTGATGCTAGGGATTGAACCTAGGGCCTCAGGCAGGCTAGGCAAGTGTTCAATCACTGAGCTGTACACCAAGCCAAGGGGGCTGTAACTTTAGGGTTGTCCTTTCTAACTGCCTCTAGAAAGGGTTCTTCAGGAGTAGTGCTAGAGGTAAGTTAATATATTTCTCTAGAAAAATGTCTAGAAATTAGTTAAATTATTCCAGATAAATTGCTGGGCCTGGATTTTTCCAGGATGCCAATAGTAGCAGGGTATGTGTTTGTGTGTCTGTGTGTGCACGCACATGCATACCCACATTTAGCTAGAATATAATGGAACAAATCTTAGATTTGAATTTAATCTACTCTGTAAGATTGTCTCTATAATGCTCAAGGGTTTTAAAATTCTGGGTCCCCCCCACCGCCCGACCCCTGTGCTGAGGATTGAACGCAGGGCTTTCTGCTTATTAGGCAAGTGCTCTGCCACTAAGCTATGCCCTACCCCTACCTGTATCCTTTGTATTTAAGCCAATTTGGTTCAACCAAAAAAAAAAAAAAAAAGGGAGGGGGGAAAGGAAAGCTACTCACCCAGCATTCACCTCTCTGGGGGAGGAGGGAGACACATGTGAGGGAAACAAGAAGGGCAGTGGGAAGAACCGGATCAATAGCATTTATGCTCCCAACTGGGGTGCTTTTACCACTCAGTGCTAGCACTAAGCAGTCAGATGGAGAGGGACACCCTGGCTCTCAAAGGCCTGAGGTGTACAATCCCCTCCCACCTTGTCCTCCTTCCCTCCCTCCCAGAGAGAAGGCACTCACTTGCCAGGTTTATCCAGAAGCCCCCCAGCAGGACACTGGCAGCACATGAGAATGTACTCCTGCAGGGCCTGCTGATGGAACATCCAGTGGCTCATGCTGAGGGCAGGATCACCTGTGGAAGGGCAAAGGGTCAGTGAGGGCCTGGCAGGGTTGGCCAAGTATCAGTGAATACTTGTAATTTTTTTTTTCGATGTAAGCAGCAAAGAGGCGTTTATTGAAAACTAGCTCGGTCCTCCGCGCGCACACAGCAACTGGTGATGCTGAGAGGCCCCGAGCCCAGGGTTTGTAGCAGTTTTATACACTCTTTGGGGAAGGCAGGGACTTCACTTACATCATAACATCTCTTAGGAAATCATCACACACCTCGGGAAAATCAAATAACAACTCTAAAACATGATTAGCGTATCAGGTGGCAGGAAAGAATCTGGAAAGGATTACTGGTTAGTTCAGGGGGTTGACGCACTTAAGAATGACTGGTTTAAATCGTGAGGGTGTTGCAAGGGGGGTACATGCCAAGCTGCAGGGCTTCTAGTTTAGATATTGGTCACCACACGTAGGTGGGGGCCATCTGGAATTTCAGATATTTCGATATCTTGGTCTATCTTAGGCGATCACCATCTGCGGCTTTTCTGAGAACTGTTTCCACAGAGCTTTTCTGTGGTATTTTCCTGACTTTAGGACTGCAGTAGGTCAGAGGTTAAGTTTCAGAGCAAAATGAGGTCCCAAGTAGAATGAGGTTGCTTAGGTCTTTCATTCTTCCATTTCTTTTTGAGAACCTTGGAAGCCAATCATGGGTTACTCTGAGTGAGTTCATAGGATTCAGTTTTATTATCTCTGTCTAGGGGCTGATATTGGGCCTGTAACACCATTAACTGGACTGTAATGATTCGTTCCTTTACAAAGGCTGCAAACTTATTTATAATACAGGGTCCTACTATGAGGGCTGAATACCTGTAATTTTTTTTAAAAAAATATTTATTATGAAGTTTTAAGTGGACACAATATTTAATTTTACATTTATGTGGTGCTGAGGATCGAACCCAGTGCCTCATGCATGCTAGGCAAGCACTCTACCACTGAACCCCAGCCCCAGCCCTATTTGTAATTTTTTACCCAGTGGGAACAGTCAGGGTTTCCCTCCTCTTCCACCCATTCTTAGTACGCAGGTTATCTTCATGTCATGCGTCAAAGAACAGCTGTTTGAAGAGCATTTCACTTGCCTTGAAGTATTCGCCGTAAACTCAGAGGAGGATCCTAAGCCACATCTCCAGCAGGCAGTGCACCAGTTGCTCAGCTTACCTTTCCAGGATGACCTATTACTGCCCCCAAACTGTCCATCACGGTTTTCTCTGGGCTCCTGAAGACATCTACTCTAACTTATCTCTGAAACTTGTTAACCAGATTCTAAGTAGCTAGGGGAACTCTCCACAGGGTTAACAAATTCTGTTTCTTCTACTTTTCTAAGCCTGACCTTAATCTATCTTAAGGGGAAATTCTCCAACTTTTCTTCCCTTTTCTGAGACATAATCTTGCTATACTGCCAGCTGCCCTAGAATTCCTGGGTTCAAGTGATCCTCCCTCCTCAGCATAGCATGACACAGGTGCATGACACTGCACTAACTTCTCTCTTGGCTCAAAAACTTTTCCTAAGAAGAATTAGTAATAATTGCCCTCATGCATCATAGGACACCCCAAGGGCAAACTGGCCATTCTAGGATTACTAGTAAATAATTAGTCTTCTTCACTCAAGTTCAGCTAGTAAGTCAGAGAATTCATTGGGCCAGGGAGTTATCAAGTGGGGAGGAGGGATGACTTTCCATTGCACAGATTGATTTTTTTTTAAAAATACAGATATAAAATGTACAGAAAGTCTTTTTCTGTTTTCTTTCTACATTTTTATCAGTGCATTATAGTTGTACACATGAGGGGACTGCTGTTACAAATTGTTACATGTATATAATATAACAATATAATCTGAACACTATCAGTCCCCAAGATATCTCCCTCTCTTTCTCCTTCATTGTCTTTGGTAGGTTTTATATTTCAATACCTGGGCTACAAAGATGTATCAATAATCTGTAAAATGCAACTGAAAATTAATCTTCCTTTCTTCTTTTTTCCATATATTCTTCTCTAGTTCTAATTATTTTAACTTTGTATCTTATGTTTTTCACTTCACACTAAAGACATAAACTTCTATTCTGCTATGTAATCTTCATAACCATCATTATGAATAGCCATGCAGTATCTCATTAAGCGAATGTATAAGGTAACTGAGTCATTAAAGAAAAGAGAGCCAAAAAATCCCATGGACATGTGCATATAAAGTTCTATTTATAAAGTTCACAGTAAATATGGTATACAGTGCCTATGTAAGCAAAATATTTAATTACAAAATAATTCAAACAGAAAATAACAATTCAATTTTTGATTTCTTCTCTCTCTCTCTTTGTGTGTGTGGTACAGGGGATCAAACCCAGGACCTTGCACATGCCAGGCAAGCATTGCCAGTGAGCTACACCCCTGGCCCAATTTTTTTGTTTTCTTAAAAGAGACACATATTTGTAGTCTCAGCTACTCAGAAGGCTGGGGCAGGAGGATTGCTTAAGCCCAGGAGTTCAGGGCCAGTGAGGACAACATAACCAGACCCTCTCTCTTAAAAAAAAAAAAAAAAAAAAAAAGGGAGACAGAGGGGGAAGGCCTGGGAAGCAACTGCTGTTTCTCAGGTTGAGCACGTGATGAGGGGCAGTGGTTGCCTGACATTGGAGTTGTGACAAAAGCTATTCTCCTTTAACACCTGACACAAGCATTAGGCCCAATGAGACGCTCACATTGTGAAAGGCACACAGGGTGTCCCATGGAGGGCTCACCCTGACCTGTGCTCACTTGGTGCGCTCATTACTTCAATTCCCTTCCTCTTTTTCCCCAGTCATGAGCACAGCTGAGTCTTCACATACATATATGGTGGGACTTCCTGTCTTCCTTTACTCACTTCCAAGGTTGCTTCCCAGTTCTTTGTAAGTATAAGAAATGCCACACTACATATCTTTGTGAATATTCTCAATGTGTAGGATTATTTTCTTCAAATACATTGCCCTGAGCAGAACTTTAAAGGGGATAAACATTTTTAAAGCTCTTAATAAATCCCAATAAATTGTTTTAAGAACTTATATAGCTGCCAGAAAAATCTAAAATTTTACTGCACTACCTCCAGCACTGCTCACTTTAAAAAAAAAAAAAAAAGTTCTGGGCTAGGATTGTGGCTCAGCGGTGGACCACTTGCCTTGCACGTGCGAGACCCTGGGTTCTATCCTCAGCACCACATAAAAACGAATGGGTAAAATGAAGGTACTGTGTCCAGCTACAACTAAAAAGTAAATATTTTTTAAAAAAAAGTTCTTAGCAATTAAAATGGTAAAAAGGAATAGTATCTGATCATTTATTTGATTAGCATGCCTTGATTACTAATCAGTGTGTAATTTTCCCATAACTTTACTAGTTTCATTTCCTTTTGAGAGGGTCTATTTGTCCTTTGTCTTCTAAAATCCAATATTCCATCTTATTAATCTAGCTTTTTATCAAACTTACCCTTTGTCTGTAACATATACTGTTCCTCTTTCTCCCTTTTTGCTCTTTTGTTTTGGTTATGCAAGTTTAAAACACATAGTACATTGTTATACTGTTATTTTTTCTTTGTGATTTCTTCTATAAAGAAGCAAATTTAATGGGTATGGGGTTTTTTGGGGGGGATGTGGAAAGTGTTCTAAAACTGCGATGATTCTACAAACATTAATAACCATTGAATTATAACCTGCCAATGGGTAAACCATATGGGATGTTTATTTCCATAAAAAACTGTTACTTTTTTGTGGGGGAGATTTTGTACTGGGGATTGAACTCAGGGGCTCTCAACCACTGGGCCACGTCCCCAGCCCTATTTTGTATTTTATTTAAAGACAGGCTCTCACTGAGTTGCTTAGGGCCTCACTAAGTTGTTGAGGCTGACTTTGAACTTTCAATCCTCCTACCTC